CAAATCTACTCCCTTCTACTTGTACCTACTGTACAAATGAATATTGTACCCAGATGAGCTTTGTTCCATCTGATTATTGGATCATTCCAGTTAGCGTACTTGTCATTATATATTATGTAATTTTATTTGCTACTAAATCATTTCAGTTACCAGCCATTAAGAGAAGATTGTTAACTCCTTACACACCAATTGTATGTGTCTACTTTGAGACTCAGGAAATGTACGCACTCGATAGTTATTGTGCCAAAGTAAGATTAACGATTTTAGGAACTGTTATGAATTGGGTAATTTTGATTTGCATATTCACTGTTATAAGATTCTACTATCTCAGAAATCTGTATCATGCTATGGCACAATCGAATACATCTGTAAAGATCGACAGTATTAGAAGGAGAAAAGTACTTTCTAGTGTATGGTTTGGTATTGTTTTTACAGGACTGATTTCTCTCATTGTTTCATTATTTGTTTCATTACCATACTTGGCTCAAATATTTATTGTGTTTCACAATGACGATTTTGATGAGTTTGCTTTGCATAACATGTTAATAGCCATTTATATCTTGATTGGTTGCATTATTGGAGTTGTGACAGTTCTTGTTGATATGAGTTTAAATTGGAAAAAGATCAAACAAAGAGGAATTAGACATTTTTTGATCTTTGACGATCCATTCATGTTCAGAGTTGACATGGCACTATTCATAGTAATTATTATATTGATTATTATTGCTTCAATTCCTAAAAATCAAGTTCATGTAGATTTATTTTTCAGATTCTTAATCTATTTTACATTTACTTTTGTTGCAGGAGGTGTAGTAATTATCAAATCAATGATTGAAAAGTGGATGGTGAAAGGGAAAGACTATGAGTCAAATTTCATTCAATACCTTAAAAATCCAGAATTTCAAGAATTACTCAAAAATTACTGCCTTAAAGAAATGTCCTCTGAAAACTTTGCAATTTATATGGACCTTATGAAGTTAGATAAGGAGGGAAAGAATTCAACAATGGACCTTGAAACTTTACAAACTCTAGAGAAGGATTATTTTCTTGCTAATTCAATGTATGAAATCAATATTTCACATGCTGCAAAAATGAATTTCTATAAATTGTTGAATAGTGCCAAACAGAATGAACCTCCAACTGTTGGTGAATTGATTGAAGCTCTACTCACTGATGTTGTTAGAAATTTGTATGATACATTCTCAAGACTCGAAAGAACTAAAGAGTTCAAAGTTTGGCTTGAAATTTATGATATTCAAATAAAAAATCTATTACTCTAAATTGGAAAAGAGTAATAACAAAGAAAACCAATTATAAAAATTATCTGAATTGTATTTTGTAAACTTTTTGAAAGTAAATCAATAATAATCCATACAATAATACCTTATCTACTTGCTTTCCTTCATTCGATGAATCCATTTCCACATATAAGGTTCCATTCAAATTGAATGACATCCGATCCAGAGTTTCGTATTGTATCCGTTGACTACTTCCTGTTGAATTGATTCCAATAACTATAACTGGTCTATATAAATAATGACTATTGTTACTACTTGTATCCATATTCCTATATCCAATATCAGAAACATCATTTCTAATTTTAGCTTCTCTAATTTCATTCATTAAGCGACCATGGAATTTAATGTTTTGATTATTACTTGTGTCAATAATTGGGATTAATAAAGATGAATTTTCCATAATTTCTGGATCACATAAGAATTCATGTGTATGCCACCATGAATAATTAGATTTCAGTTTTTGGTCGCTTAGATTAGGAAGTGGAATTTTTTCTCCAAAAATTGAAAAAGAACCAACATAGGGCTTTTCAACCAGTTTTTTGAAAGGGTGTCCACTCTTTTCATTCTCCAACATGACAAGGAATTCTAAAGATACAAAATTATTAAACTATTCAAAACTAAACTTACTCGAATCTTCAACATTTCCACTTTTACAAAGATTTTTCTTAATTATTGCTTTAAACACAACCAAATTCATATTGAAAACTTACAAAAAACTTCCTATTCTTATAATTATTCAACAATGTCATTTCCATCTTTAACCAACTGAAATTAACATTCATCACTTTCATCAAGTTTCCATGTCGTTCCACAATCATGCTAGCCCACTGATAAATAGATTTCTTGATAGATCGCAACATGAATAACTGTCCCTTCTCTGTACTAAATATTTGCTCAAAATTCCGAAGAGCTGGATTGCTACGATTATTAGTTTGAATTTTGTCAAATTCCTTTTGAATTAATTCAAAACAAAGAATTCTCCACAGAGAGGAAACTCTCGATAATGTCAATACCCACTCAAGAGAATGCAAAAATCGAAAAATATCCATCAAATTATCATCAGCCAATTGATTCATTTTTTTTTAATTAATTTTTAAAATTAAATTTCTTCATCTTCCAAATTTGATGCATCTTCCAAATAAATCCAAGAATTACGATTAAAAAAAATGAACAGAAAATGATGCACGCAGATACTCTATTTTGTATTATTGAATTTCTTTCGATTCGTGATGGAGTTTCCCTCCTGTCTGCCTGTAAGGCTTGGAATGAATTGGATCGATATGAAATTGTTTGGAAAACATTGCTGAGCAACTTTTTAAAAACCAAGATGAGTTTGTTTATTGGTAAATTATCATCATCGGAGCAGAAAAGAGGAAAATCAAGAAGCACCAAGAAGGGAATTAATCATTACAAGGGTATATTGGATAAATTGAAGAGGTTTTATCAAACACAGATTTTAAAGGAGGAATCGGTACAAAAGCCTAGTTTTCAAAAGTATATGGATGATGATGAGGGAGAAAAATCAACTGCTTTCGGGATGAGATTTAAAAAGTTGAGTGAATCAGCTGTTTTCATGTATTATAAATTGATGATGGTGGGAGGATTGGATGAAATTAAGAATGAATTTGATTTGACAGTTATTAATTATGAACCTGATGGTTTTTTGGCGCAATATTTTCTTAATCATGTTGAAAAATTCACTCTCAATGGAAGAAATAATGATTCTGTTTTTGCTAATGAGTATTGGAAACAATATTCTTTTGAAATTGTTGAAAATATGTTCTCGGTTGATTTTGACAGAGAGCTTAGCTCAGAACAATTAACTTCATTTTTAGAAAGGTTTAAACCTGTTCTTAAAGAAAATAGTTTAGAAAATATTTTGCGTTGTTATGTAGTTCGAGATGTAGATGAAAATGGAGTGGACAAATTTTTAGAATTTTTACTGAGCTACATCTCTGTAGAAGGAAATTACCAAAGAGCAAGTGATCCATTTATCACTTTCAGAACATTTATTAACAAAGACAATATGGTGATATTGAAATATTTGAAGAAAATCATTAATGTTATTTATCCAAATAGATTCCTGGAAATCTTCAAGAATTGCATAAACCATGCTGGAACCGCCTTCCACTGTTTAGAATATTTCAATCCTAGACTATTTGATAATCCAACAATACTTGTGGACAGTCTTTGTCAGCTTTTGGAAATTATCGAAGAAAAATCTATTCACTATTCGAATATTGCAGAGCGCAATATTTTTTTACAGAAAGAGGAACAAGTCATAATAGAGTTATTAGAAAAAAGAGGATTGATTGGAAAGGAAGATTACAAAATAATATTTCACAAATTCAATTATTCCTCCAAGATTCCAGATTTGCTTCCCAAAATTGAAAATTTTGACCCCTATGAAATAATTGAAACTTCAGAAGGAAATTACAATTTTATTTACTCAGTATTTAAAAGCTACTCTTTCTGTTCGATCAACACCTCCCTCAAGCCATTCTTTGAAATCTATCCTGAAAAGTTAGATTTAAATATTCTAACGACAAGATTGAAAATAAGCATGCAATCATTCAAAGAATTAATCAATCATTATATTGTGTGCCATTTTTTGGACTATCATCAAGTGGACGATCTTACAGAATCAATAGAAATAATGACGAACTATTTTACACCAACAATTTTGGATGTTTCATGTATTGAACGAATTGTAAACTATTTCAAAGTAGTTCTTATGAGTAGAATGGCTTATCCAGGTATCACAAGTGTTACCCTGCTTGATGGATTTAAGTATATTCTTGAACATATTCAACATGAAGGAGTTCCATTTGACCAATACTGCAAAGGTATTCGAAACAAATACAGTACAGATACTCTAGTGTTCCATGATTTTGATGGAGAGGAAAGAATGGCCTATCTCTACAAAAGTTGCCTGACCATTATCGAAGAGATGCCAAAATTTTATGCAATTAATGATTAGTCATCAGATTCATTACAGGAATCCTGTAATGAGATCCCATCATTCTAACAACAATAGATTTATTTCTATTAACAAAAACGAAATAAAGGTAAAGGGGTCTTCCTTATCACCAAGACATACATTCATTCAGTGAAATTGTAATACTGAGTGAAAGCCAACAAAATTGTGAAGGTTACAATTGGAGTAGATCAACATTAAAATAAAAAATGGCAGAAACTGAACCCACACAATGTATTCTTGTTGAGAATCTTGCTGAAATGCAAACTATTCTCTATTCTAAACTTCAAGAGCAATTCAACCCGAAAACAAAAAACAAGATTGGTTTCTCCTTGAATTTTACTCCTGTCCACACATTCGGCAATGGGAAAATCAAGGAGAAAGACAACTTTGTACATCCATTGGATGTAAAAATTTCACATCAATTTCACTGTGTCATAATAACTGACAGAGACAGAATTCAAGTGTTTGATTTGCATTCAAGAAAATTTAAAAAATCAATTCAATTTCAAAACTATAGAATTAATTATTTAAATATTGAAAAGATTAATCAAAAGGAATATTTATATGTCACTTCAATGTCTCCTTCAGTCTTGTTTAAATTTGATCTTGAACAATTGCTACTTTCAAATAATGAGCCAATAGAAAATCTCTGTATTTGGAAGGTAGAAAATCTTAATCATCCTTCAACTGTTGAAATATTGTACAGAGATTATCATGAAAATCAAATTTTAGTCTCTGATATGTCAATAGGAAGAATTCACGTATTGGATTCAATTACTGGAATGAAAGTACAAGATATTTTAGCTTCAACACCTTATGGAATTGCCTCTCTCAATTCAAATTCCTTCCTTGTTGGAGATGCTTGTAATGACAATATCCATATTTATGAAAGAAATGAAAATCAAGAATTTCAAAAAAGTTCAAGTTTTGATTTTAGTGATAAATCAAGACCCTCGACAGGAATAATAGGTTTTGATAGTGGTGGTCTTCTTTTCGATCCAATTGAGAAGAATATTCTGATTGTTAATATTAGAAAGTCACAAATATGTGCTTTCAAGCAAGAGAATCGATCATTAATTAAGACTTTCAAATCTGGAATGTTTTCTTATGGAATGTGTTTGGATCAATATACTGGAGAACTTTATGTTTGTACCAATGATAAGAAGGTGATTGTTTACAAATAAAATTATTGTGTCCAGTAATTCAAATTGGTGATGAAGGTGCCAAATCAATAAGTGAAATGAAATAATTTCATTCGAAAGTGCACCACTACTAAAGAGTGATGTCATTATCAATGCTTAACTGTACTGGCACAATTTTCCAATCTTAATCAGTAATAAACAATCCAAATATAACCAACTGATCCCGTACAAGAATTGTTACAAATCCCATAAATGAATTTGTTCATTTCAGGTCAAAAATATTTAAGGCAACAATTTAGACCACCTCAATATAAATTACAAAAATACCTTCATTCTATCAATCTACAGTAGATTAATCAACAATCAAATCATAATCATGTCAAATCATCTCTCTTTCCTCAATGCCTTTTATGGCAATATTTATGCAAGTTGCAAAAATCCAAATTGCATTACGCCAATTTTTCAAAAAACGCGCGAGCAATTAATAGGCCCTTTCTAGGAGCCAAAAGCAAAATTCAGTCAAAAACGAAAACATTCTTGTTTACCAATCACGATAAGTTTCAACAGCCTGTTGCAGGCAAACACACAAATCATTACGGATGCCTACACAACATGATGATCCTTTGTGTATCTCAGACTCCCTGAGATGATTCGCAGAGTAGGGCGGCCATTGAGCATCATCATGTGCGTGTAGAAACTCAGAGAGAAAAAATAACTCTACAGAGTACTTTGGTGTTATTGGAACGTTGAATTATTAGACACACAATAGCAACACACAACAAGAAGAAGTGATTGCTGTTAATAATCAAATTGGATTACGTAAATTTCTAGCAGTGAAAATAACATTAAAAGCATTGGAGTACTGGTTTGATTTAAAACTTAATCTACTAGTACTTTAGTATTATTGATTGTGAAAAAACAGCAATTTTAGTAGTAGTTTATATTTATATATTATACGACAAACGAGTCAATTCTCTAATACCTTATAGAAATTGACTATTTTACTTTTTGTTTTAATTCGAGTATCTAATTTATGTGTACCTCAGTAACTCCAACCAACAATTTCCTTTCCCATCAAGATATTAATTGTTGTACCTCCTGTTCTTGCAACCCGTATTCGTTTATCTATAATTGCTCTTCTTTAACATTGGACAAATCGAGAACAGCAACATCATCACCTTGTAGTAAAATTCCACAGATGAATACTCAATCATCTGCTTGTAAGAGTGGAAAAACTTGTTGTAGTTGTTCATCAAATGAAGCGAATAGTAATGGAGCAAAAGCCCTTAATATTCCATCATCAACAAGTTTACCTCCAAGCAACAATTCCTCAACTCCTAGTTTTGACAACAAACAATCTTCCCACCATCACTGCAACCAACCTTGCTGTTTATCAAAAACAAATCAAGAATCCCCTTCTTCTCAGCAAACCTCCATTTCAACTAATTTATTAACAACCCAAAACCCTAATTCTTATTCGACTGTAACTTCACCTTCCTACCACCATTCCTTTACTCAAAGCCATCTTCATTCAGAAGAACATATAGAACCATCAGATTTAAACGAGATTAAACCTGTAGATGAGACAAATAAGCAAGCCTCAGAGGCTACTTCTAATTATTTCAAGATTGTTTTTGGGAGCTCAATCAATGAACCAGCTTGTGGCACATCCAAAGGATCTTGTGAATGTAGTGGATGCAACTATAGTGTTGGACAAAGTAACAGAGGTGCTGCTATCGTAGCAATTCAAGCTCATTTACCACCAACACCAAGAGGAAGCAGTAACACCTCCAAAAGAGGAGGTGGTTGCAAAGGATCTTCATCATCAGGAAGTGTAAAGATTCAGAAAAAGTCTGTCATGCAAAACAAGTTAAAGAATCAACTCACAAGAATGAGGGATTCTACTGTTGATGTGACTATGCATGAATCGGATAAAGTAGCAGCACATGATGATTCTGGTATCATAGTTTCAACTAATTAAAAATATTAAAATTTTGAATTAATTTCTAGATAAATAATTGATATCTAAATAGATATCATTTGTGACTAAATTTATTGTACATTATTCACAATGTGGGAAAAGAATTATAGGGAGGGAAATAACTTAGTAAAAAGAGATAAACGGTTAGGAAACTTGGCAAGAATTGACACCTGTCAAGGGTTAGTTGGATGATGAAACTATTAAAACACCTTTGGGTATCTCCTTTTGTTGTAAAAGTGTTTTAGAGAGATCATTGTTAGCTTCAGGTTTTCCCTGATAAATAACATGATATGAGTTTCCTCTACCAGTCTCGAGGTCTTTGCAGACTGCTCTATAAGGATCAATAAAAACAACGCAATTTCTTGGTAGACAATTTTCAAAATCGTTGAGATTAATGCCCAACCTAGAGGCAATATCCATCAATAGAGGATCAGTTTGAACTCCATCAATTAAAATTGATCGGAAAGCTTGGCCTCTTTGTGGATCGGAAGGATACCAATGTCCTTTGAAGCGAACCAATAATTCGCTTTCCAAGGCATTCTTAAATTCATTCACTACCTTTTGGTCAAACTTGTCGCTTAACCATTTTGAAAAGAAAGCAGTAACGGACTTGATTTCTTCCAGCATGATGAAATATTATGATGATGAGTGTGTGTATGTACAAAAAAAGTTGAAAAGGGATTATAATAGTACTATGGAAAAGTTACTAGAGTAATACCGCGAGTAATATTGTTGCTGCTGCTGTTGTTGTTGCTGGCAAGGCAAGGAAAGTCGAGTATTGTTGAGAGGGAAAATTTTGTCGGTTGGTTTCAAAAGAGAAAATTGTATGATGCTGTTGTAGAGAGTGTTGTATAAAAACGGCTTCTAGAATGTTCAAACAATTTTTTTTTTAAATTGATTTACCAAGGATGATAAGTAACGTTCGTTGTTGTTCGATCGAAATAATAATAATATCGATAGGGAGAGAAAAATACAACACTTGGAAAATTACGCTGTATGATAAGGATAGTAATATGATTGCAAAATCTCTTGTTCTGGAAAAGGACCACTATCGATGGGTTCAGATAACACAAACGGAGAGATTTTGTTGCCGATCAAAACACACTGAAGGAAAAACACAATGAGCAAGGCAAAGTGTTGATCGTGGTTTTTTTTGTATGAAGCCTACAGAGGTGTGTTGAATGTGAGTGAACATGAAGGCTTGGATTGCAACGTTCAATTCTTCTCTGGTTTGGTGATCGCGAAATTTTGTGTGGCATCATGACAGCGCTCATTGTGTCATCTATTTTTAACTTTTTGTAAAGTGTTGGCAAGTTTTGTAATCATAGTTCCTTTTGTAGTTTATGGAAGGTGTTAAAAAAGAGCATTGTATTATGGCTTTGAGAAGTGGTAGTATTAAATTGACAGGAATTGATTTTCTCTAATTCAACTCGTTGGTGTAAAAATCAAAATTTTCTAAAATCATTTTCAAACTCTTCTTAAATTGATGGTTGTATTCACATAGGGTTTCACAAATTGATAGAGAAATATTGATTCTGATGGGTTCTTAATCTCAAAATTGTATTCCCTCTTAAAAAGTCGCATAATTACATTCTCACTTCCATAATTTCCCAATGGAATGGTTTTCAATTTGGAAATGATATTTCTAGAGAATGGAATGGTTGTTCTGAATACTAGTGCATCGTGAGTGTCCTATTTTCATTAGTTATTATAAATGTGAAACATTACAAAACCAATATAAATGAATTGAAATAATGAAGCTTCTTACCTTCATGGCTGCAAGACAATTATCTTTATCCTCACATTGTGCCTTCTCGACACTGAAAAGTTGCCTCCTAGAAAGCATTAGAGGAGTGTTAAATCCAATCTTAGTGGCATGGACAATGGTGTGATCAAAATAAATATTTGGAGTAATTAGAATTACAATTCTATCTTTCAAATTCTTATTAGAATATTCCATAAAATCAGAAACCATCAATTTACGTCCCAAATTTACAATTTTAATCTTTTCTGAATGGATCATTTGTTTCAAATCAGAATTGTAAATTTCACTTTCTTGCAACATGTGAATTTCTGAAATGAAAGGATTCAACAAATTCATTTGAATACTTGCCAACATTTCCTGATACGTTTGCTGTTCTCTATTTCTTCCAATCAATTGAGTTACAATAGTGAGTTGTGGATTTTCACTCAGTAAATTCCTCTCCAAAACATTTAATGTAAATTTACGCATTGAATTTGAATTATCGAAAAAGTAATCCACAGAAAATGGCCTTAAAAGTGAGGTTTTCAATTGGTAATTGTAGAAATTTAATTGATGACCCGATTGTTTAAATTGTCTGAAATAGGTAAGAATATTTCTACCAGTACTTGAATTATTTGGAGTCATCATTTTAGTTTCGAATAAATTTGAATATTTACTTTTCCACCCCGATAGTAATGAAGATGATGAATCAAATCGTATTGTTGTAGAATTATTATTGTTGGTAATTTTCCTCCAACGACCGAAAATAAATAGATACGGAATTATCATGACTACAATTATTAGAATGGTGATGGAAATTAAAATTCGTTTCCTGGTCATTAGACACATTGAAAGATTTAATGATGTCTTAGAGTTGACCATTTTTTAAATTCTTGTTGTATTATCCATTATGATGACACCTTTCGGATAGGATTTCAAAGGTCCAACAGACAACAAAAAAAATGTTCTCAAATAGGGGATTAGCCATCACGTTTTCTGTAGTTGTTTTAGTTGTTGTGATAATTTCCTTCTTGTTCATATTGAGAGGAGACAATAGCCAAACAAATAATATTCGAAAGGAATCGGTAGTTTCGGTTTTCATACCACATTCGCGAGGAATTAAATATAATTTACAAGATTATGGTGATTATATGAAGACATCACAGAAACAAATATTGGAAATTGCCCAAGAAATTAGAAAGAATGAAATTAAACTTCCGGAAACAGTACTTGTTTCACAGTTAATTGTTGGAATTTCGGCAAGAGATAAAGTTTATTATCTTGATTTGCTGACAAGCATTCAAATGAATTTATTGAATCCATCAGTTTCTGAATATCATTTACTTCAAATTGACGAAACTTACAATTCTGAAATCATGTCATTGATGTTTGCTGATAAGAAGATTAAAATTCATTACATTCGTGAACAGTTGAATAGAGAAATATTTGTGAAATATTGCAATGAGCATTTGAAGGACAAACTCATTGTCTATTTGAATCAACCTGACATTTATTTTGATCATTCATTGATGCATGCTTCTAAATTAAAGAATGGAGAATTTGTGAAAATTCACAAGAGGATTAGTTTGGCAAAACCATACGATTGTGAGGTAAGTTTAGGAACAATTTATAAATATTTATCAAGAGAATTATAGAATGGACAAGGAACTATTCCTGATGGTGCAATTTTCAGAACCAGTGCTGATAAACCATTAGAATTGGGAACTGAACCAGATTGGAATGGACAATCAGTTATTTCAATGATTTTCAATGCATTCAGTGTTCATAATTGTGAAGTGTCAACAGCAATTACTGGATGGTTCTTGCACGATCCAACAAACATTGATAAGAAGGCAGAAAAGGAGGCAGAACTCAGAGAATTGGAACGTAAAAAACAGGAAAAGATACGACAAGAAAAGTTGGAAATGGAAAGAAAAATCAAAGAAGCAGAGGAAAAGAAGAAGAAAATGGAAGAGGAGAGAAAACTCAAAGAGGAGCAAGCAAAGAAGCAAAAGGAAGAGGAAGAGAAAAAGAAAAAAGAAGAAGAAGAAAAGAAGAAAAAGGAAGAAGAGGAGAAGAAGAAAAAAGAGGAGGAAGAAAAGAAGAAACTTGAGGAAGAGAAGAAACTCAAAGAGGAGCAATTAAAAAAAGAAGAAGAAGAGAAGAAACAAAAGGAAGAACAAGAACGAAAGCAAAATGAAGAGAAGAAACTCAAAGAGGAAACTGAAAACAAGAAACTAGATGAAGAAAATCAATCCAAGTCAACCAACAACTCTTCAATTAGTGCCGCTACCTCATCCAATCCTAAATCTGCCTAAATATAACAAATTACTAGGTCAATAAATTCTTATTCCAATCGACTTTTTTAAATAGATGAACAGTCACCAACAACTGAGTGGAATACAAAGAAAGAAAGACGTTTCTGTTAAATATACCTTTTCTGGTGTGGAATGTTCTATCCACTAATCTGTCATCTTAAGGTTCTAATAAGGAAAGAATGTAAAACAAACGCGCCAAATTCACCGTTGTGTTTTGTTATTAATACATGCACTTATTTGTTCTTGACGAATTCAGAATCAAACTCTTACTTTTGATTCCTCCAAAATAACCAAGAAGAAAAAAGATTAAACACACATCTTCTGGATATTTGCTTTTTTCCTTCTTTCTCTCTTTACAACAACAAACACACCAAATTTGCAACTTGTCAAGGAAGAAACCCAGACCTGACCCAATTCTTCAACACATTTCTAGCTGCAACAACCCATTTGTTTGAAATTTCATATTTGGGTTATTCTTCAAAGAAAATGCAAAGAATTACCATCTCAATGTTTGATGACCATAATAATAATAATAATTCTACTAATTACCAACAAGGAGAAGGGAATTCAACATCCTTAACTTCACCTCTCACTCTTCAACAATATGCTTCACCCAATCAAAATTTAATCACTCCTCTCACACCAAATACTGAATTGTTGAATAATGTAATCGAATCTTTAAGGCAGGTTAAAATAGATGGACAACAATACTTGGATACATCAAATTATACAGATAATAGTAATGATGTTAATATATTTGGAGGTGTTTCATCATCAGCCATGAATTGGAATCATTTACTGTCGAACAACATGTATCAGCAACATCAGCAAGTTGAGCATGCCCATATGATTCAGACAGAAGAATCAAACAATTTTCATAATGGCAATACATGTAATTCCTCTTCATCATTCAGTAACAATGTAAATAATATCATCAAGGAAAGCAACACTAGTAGTGATGAAGCAAGCAACTTGTTCTCACTCTTTGATGCACATAGAAAGATTCTTCTATTTGATAATTTGATTGAGGGCGAGCTCATTCGGATGACTGACCGATCCGCTTCAATGAATCTGGACAATAACGCCTTAATAGATTTAAGCGAAGATCGAATGAGAAATAGGAACTCCCAAAATCAAACCTCAGAAACCTCAATTCAGCAAATTTCCTTAGATTGTGACAATGCTTGTCAATCTCAAATTTCTGATATTTTCAATGTTTCACAAGCTCTTCAGAATATAACTAGCTTATCACCCTCAGATCAAAACCAATTATCAAGATTGATATGGACTGCTTTGATGAATAATTCTAATAATTCACTTACTGATGATTCATCAAAATCTTCATCATTCAATTCAATAGAAAATAATTCGGAATTGGGGAATAGTGGAGCATACAGAATGTTTGAATCATTTGAGGATGTGCAAATGCAATTTTCACAACATGTGGAAGCCCTAACTTTGCATCAAATGGTGGATGAAGATAATTCCCCAACAACAAAATCCAAGTATAGTTCTCAGCCAGTACTAAATTCTAATGGCAGATACTCAATTGACAATTTGAGTAATTCAATGATAATGCAAAATGGAAATTCCTCCTCAGTCATTCCTCATTACTCAGATAGTGTGGACATAACAACATTTCTTAATAATCAATTTTCTTCTTTACAAAATCAGAGTTTGGAATCATCTCAAAGCTCTACAATAATCAGAGGTAATACTGGTATCAGTCCAACATCACCTCAATCTCATTATTCAACACCAATGCAGCAACTTTCAGACTCTATGACTGAGTCCACACAACAACAATTCATTATCTCTCCGAAAGGCAACTTGAATAGAATATTCAATAATCCGCAACAGGCAACCACACCAAACTCAGTATTTGATGTTTCTATTAATACTCAACCCAAACAATCAACATTATCATCTCCTCGAAGAATTTCCTCATGTTCTTCATCGATGATATCCAGCAGCCACTCACATACTTCCTCTACGAGATCCACTCCAACAACCATCTCGGAACAAACCCTCATTCAATCTACACCAATATTAACACCATCTGATACAAATCCAGGCCAAGATGAATGTATCCAACCACCACTCCTTCTTCCCAAAACTTCAACCCAAACCTGTTGTGGTGTTGGCAACAACATAAATTTCTCCCTTCCTGGTGATAGCGAAAGTGCGGCGGTGGTTAAACAATTTGGCAAGAATAATCAGTCAAAAAAATATTCAAACAACAATTTTAGTGAAACTACATTGCCACATACGAGTTGTGTTGTTAATAACGTTGTTGGTCAGCAGCATTTCATCACCACCACCACTACTAGCACCACTGAAAATCATAGTAGTCATCATAGTAACCCACTTGAGGCATCATCTGTTTTAAATATTCAGAAAAGCCTTTCATTACAACAATCTTTAGATAGTAGTAATAGTCCTCGAGTTGTTGTACCATCACCAACATCAGGTAATTTTCACAACAGCAATCCTCCAACTTTGCTTTGCATCACATCAAAACCAACGGAAAGTAATTTGGACATTATCACCCAACAAACCCTTAACAATATCTCAACCGATTATACAATGTCTTCACATTCTCCAATATCATCCTCTAACTCTAATGAACAAAATGGCCAAAACAAACAATATCAAGGGGTTATGCCATTAGAAGGAAATCAATCGACTTGGGGAGTTAAAGTAAATAGAAAATATAGACAATTAAGAAAATCTTTAAAGACATGCAAACATTTTGAGGATAATTATTTTGTTCTTGAATTAAACGGGCAAGGTAATAATCCTGGAAATCCATCAGCTGGACAACAACCACCAAAACCAAAAAAGCCAAAGGCTAAAGCTCAACCACATGCTAATCATGATGATAAAAAACCATCCATACCGATTCCTTACAAGGAACAAGTTAATTTGATGGGAGAATTTAGTGTAGCTAAAAGTATAGATGATGAGGTTCTTCCTCTATCAGTTTTAAATAGATCCGAAGAGAGTGATTTATATCTCACAACTCCTAACAGTACAAGTTCAGCATCTTCAAGGTCTAGCTCGGCTAAGGATATGACTAAAAAGAAGAGAAAGAATACCTCTCAAGAACCAACGAGAAAGAATAGAAAAAAGGATTCAGAACAAGAAATGTCACTTGGTGGATTAGATTCTACCTATAATCATGATATTTTACCTAGTATCAATATGACACTTAATCTTGCTCCAATGCAAACAATACCTTCATTAGATAATTCAGAAATTATGAATTTTAATAAGGTTACCCCTGATATAATGTCCTATCAACCAAATAATAATATTCATCATCACCAACAACAAATTCCTTCCCTAATTTCACCACACAAACCTCTAGACTACCAACCAATAACTCCAAATTTAATTAATTATGAAAATACCACCTCATCAAGCCCACATATCATCAACTTTGAAAATCAAGCCTCCTCAACAAATCAAATTAATAACCAAGCAGAAAATAGAAATCTATTTAGTTCAGGGTTTCCTTCAAACAGCAGCTTTGGATTATTTTCTACAAATGAAGATTTTACAACAATGAAATTACCAAGCAATAGTAGTATTGACAGCTTTTTCAAGGCAGATCTGACGGATGAAAAGGCAACAAATATGCCTAGAAATATGTCTTCCAGTTCTGACTTTTTACCTTTGGAAGAAACCATCGTTCATCACCTTCCTATTACAAATTCAAATATGAATAATCACCATCCAATTCACCCTATTACTGCCACACAGACTCAAATAGTCCCACCAAAAATCGATATTAAACCACCCAAAAAAGAAGTTGAAAAGAATCATCTCACTAGATGTATGAGTCATGCAAGTTTGTCAATGTTAGATGAAGAAGAGGAGGAAGAACCTGTTCCTGTTGTAAACAATAATATTTCTAATATTCCTTCAATAGCCATTTCCACAAAAGAAATTCACCATTTGGCTCAAGAACCAACTATGGAGGATATTAAGAGTAAGAGTCCACTAATAACCCCATTGAATGCTGTTTTATATAAGAATATTTCTGTGAGTAATATGGATTTGGTAAAATTGGATGTACCAAGTGCTTGTGTGCTACGACCAATTCCATCAGAATCAATGATAGAGAAAGATCACGCACATTGGATTAATGAAATCAAAACACTGCCTTCGAATGATTCTCTGGCAAATATGGCTATAGTTGATTTTGATATTCTTTCTGAAACAAAAAAGCATTAAAAAATATCATATTTATTTCCATTGAGGTTTTGCATATTTAGTCTCTGCTTGTTGCTGCTGTCTCAACAAACTCATAGAGTTGGCTATTTTCTTAATATATTCTGGTGATTTGTGAATTACAGGTTTAAAGCTACACTCTGCCATCTCGCGTTGATCTTTTTCCTTCTCCATTTCTTCCAATTTCTTTTTGGTATTTTGGCTTCTTGTTTCCAATCTTTCTTTATGACTCTGCGGCGAATAGTTCAAGATACCTGTACTCCTAGCGATTGAGGGTTTGAAGGTTGTTTCTTGTTTGAGTTTTAGCTCTGCTTCTTCCCTTTGTTGCTTAATTCTGTGGGCAATCTTTTCTTGATCACCCTTGCAAAGTTGATCAATTGTTTTACTCGGTTTAGATTTTGCCCTTTCAGTAATGAAGGGCTTAAATGAAAATTGTTCTTCTTCCTTTTCGTTCTGTAATTTGGTGTGATTAAAAAAAATTGAAGAATAAACTTACAATCTTCTTCCTATGCTTCAGAATTTCATTCCTCTTCTCTTGATCCAAACCATGAAATATTTCCATACTCTTATTATTCAAAGCTGGTTTGTAGGAAAACTCTGTCTGTCTAATGAAATCAATCTTTTCCTCCTTCTTTGATAATGTTTGATTTTGTCTTTTTAAAAACTCTTCAAAATTTCCTGTTGGTCTATATTTTCCAGCAGATTTAGGCCTAGATTCCTTATTTTGATTTTTCCTTTTGATAACTGTATCATCAGACGCTAAACGCCTGCTGAGTCTTAAAAACGGATCTTCTGATAAGTACTTAATACTCGATTGATGTGAAACTTTTGGATCTAAGGTATTAGGTTTGAAAGTATAATCAATAGATTCATCTTTCTTTTTCTCGATTGGTTTCTTAGGTTCTAAATACTTAGGTTGAGCATTTGAGCTCTTAATTTTTGGTTTAAATGTACACGTTTTTCTAAATTCATCTTCACTTAGTTTGTATCTATTCTCATCGATTTTGTCCATCACTCTGAATGAATCAACATAAAGCCTATCATACACTCCAACTTCTTCATCAAGTTTTCGAAGTGAGATTGGATTAATTTCTGGTTTAAATGAGCAGTCTTTCTTTAGCGAGTCTTGCAGCGCCTTCTCCATTGTTTTTTTATCTTGTTCTACCTTTTCCTTCCATCTACTCGCTCTTTCAACAAAAGATTCTGTCTCTATTATTGCACTATTATATTTGCTAATGTTTGGATGAAAAGTACATTCAGCCATTTTCTTTGAATCATCTTCTAGAGATTTGTCCAAATTTCTCTTTCGTTTGTCGAGAGAAAAGCTGAACGGCACTGGTTTTGTTAGTGTCTTCTTTTCCAATTGTTTTGTCGGTGATGATTTCATTGGAGAGGTATATTGGTTCAATAAATTAATGGATGACTCAGATTTGAAATTTGTTGATCTCTGATTGTTATATTGTGGAGATGAATAGGAATCAATTTTCTTTTCAGGGCTATTTCCTTGCAACAGTTTGCTTATCATTGAATCTATTTGTTTCAGTTGTTCACTTGTTTCTGCTATTGAAGAAACATTGGAAAGATGGCTAACATTATGTGAAGGCGATTTCGGAATAATCTGAACTTTCCCACTCTTTTTCAAGCCATCATCACTGCCATAACTTAAATTAAGCATACTCTTCCCAACTCTACTATTTTCAGGAGATTTTTCTTTTGATTTTGTTTGAGAATTAGACTCTGTGAAGGAGCAATATTGTTCAATAAATTTAGCAATTTCACTCCTTTCCTCATCTTCAACATATGAAGCTGCATCAGATACAAAATTTCCATCAGACTGTTCAATAACTCCCAATGCTTCTAACATTGATTCCCTTTCCTTATCATTATTATCAATCATGTCCAAGAAGTGATGATAATGAACATGTTTTTCTTTCGGGCTCTTTTGTTTACTTTGATCCTCAGCTGTAATGATATTCCACATTGGTTGGTTATTTTCATCCGGTTCTTCATCATCCTCATGGAATGAACGCTTTTCCATTCCATCATCTTCCTCATTACTCATTCCATCATCCTCAGAAAGCGATAAATCATCAATACTCTGATGTAAATCAAAATCAAACTTTTCTCCTACTCTGGAAAATAAGGCTTTTTGTTTCTGAAATTCCTCATCTACATCGTCAATATTTCTTCCCTTATATAAAAATTGATATTTCTGGAGAGGAGTTTGTTCCAAAGATGATGATGAAGTATTTCGCTGCTTCTGCTCGACAGTATCAAACAGAGCGCCATTTCTACTCATTTTATTTTGATGATGATTTAAGCGAAGCTCACTGTAGCCTTTTTATTGTATGTTTTCAAAGTCTGTTTGAAATTATCATAAATTGTATGAGTTTTAAAAATTGCCGCCAAAATTTCTAAAGAATCAATAAGTACAAATGGAGGGAAAAGTTACTTATTGATTATTTCTGATTCAACTAATGATAACAAATAGTGTTGCTCTCTCCTTATTAATTGAGTAATCATCATGTGATTCATCTATTTTTTCGAAGATGGTTGTTTAGAATTTCTTCTAATCATTTCAACTGTGGTGGCAACATTTTGTTCAGTTTGTTGAAGGGCACCAGCTTTGTTTTCATTTCTATTCTTCAATTGTCCACATGCACCAAGAATATCTTGTCCTTTGCTGTGTCTTACCGGTGCTGAGATTCCATTCTTGTAGAGGTATTTGGAAAATTCTTCAATTCTTTCATCTGATGAGCATTCAAATCCACTTCCTTCCCATTCATTAAATGCAATCAAATTGACTGAACATGGAATGTCTTTAACCAATTTTACAAGACGTTTGGCATCGTCAATAAAGTCATTCACATGATTCAACATGACATATTCGAAAGTGATATGTCTATTATTGTTTTTGAAGCATTGCTCTCTAAGGGTTTCAAATAAAACCTCCAGAGGGAAAATCTTATTAATTGGCACAATGTTATCTCTCAATTCATTGGTTGTGGCGTGAAGACTGATTGCTAAATTCACTCCCAAATCATTGACAACATCTGGAATCAAGTTACATACTCCAGAAGTACTCACAATGATTTTTCTCTTTGAAATTCCACATCCATCACTCAAAATTTCAATGGCCTTTTTAACATTTTTGTAATTACTGCAATTAAAGGATTATGGTAAATTATTTAAATAATGAAATCAAAAACCTACTAGAGTGGTTCTCCTTCTCCCATAAATACAATATTATTAACAAATGATTTTTCAATAGAGGCTCTCTTTCTTTCTTCCTCTGTCATGTATATTGGAAAGTCCATCAATCTATGTTTAACTGAAACTAATTGGCTTACAATTTCTGAAGCCAATAAATTTCTCTCAATAGGAGCTGTTCCAGTTCTGCAAAACTTACAATTCAATGAACATCCAACCTGACTACTCAAACACACAGTTCCTCTTCCAAAACTATCACTAGCTTTTGGTGGATGGTAAATATATACTGCCTCAACTTTGTTAAATTGTTTTTGTTCTTTGAGAGTTGGTTTCTTCATTGGTGAAATTGCAACATCAGCATCAGAAATATTCTGTTGATTACCACATGATGACGATGCTGATGAAGTGGTGGAAACAATTGTACTATCAACACTATTATCTGCAACAGGTGGCACATATTTTGGATTTTGAAAAGCAAATAAAAACTTTCTCGTGTGTTTATCCTTCTTGGATTTAATTTCTTCCTCAATATTTCCCAAAATATCAATAGAGTATAGTTCCGATAATGATTGACGATCGGATTTGGTCAAGACTGTAATATCATCAAATTTTCTGGCTCCAAACTTGTATATGAATTTATAAATTTCATTCAATCGGAATGATGATGCAACATGTGGATGAGTCTTTTCCAATATTTCCTTCATTTCTGTCTTGTTTAATCCCATCAGGGATTTTCTAACAATTTGTGTTGAATAGAATCTGTGTTGAAAGTTTCCATTGATGACAATTTGTCGAGCACATAAATTTCCTAAAATCAATTTTTGCATTTTTTTTCAATCAAATTAAATTTTGAATTTTTTAATAAATTGGAATGAATAATGCTCTTTCCTAATAAATTCCATTCTGAAGAGTTGTGCTGAAATATGAAATACTATTCATTGTTAAATAACAACATTCTCAAACCAAACAAACCAATCATTGTTCTATCAATTAAAGAGCTAGACCATTCTTCTTCTTTCTAATAAATTCCTCAAATACAAATAGTTATCTTTGTAGTTTACTAACTACATCATCCTTTCCCTGTTACACACAGTCACTGAACTTTGCGTGATAGAGTGGTCGTGTCACTAAATTTGTTCTCAATCACTATCGAAACTCCACTTAACTCGTTACCCTGTCAGTTTAACTGCACTTCTATCACATACAAAAAAAATGATGAAAAACCTCTCATCCAAAATTATAGCAAGTTTGCTCTTGTTGAGTTTGGTTGTTCTCTTTACATTTGTTTCATCAACAAATGCCAAGAAGAGCGAATCATCCTTGTCAACTCAACTCGCCTCTGCTTTTAAACTTGAAAAGAAGCAAAGAAAGAAGACAAGAACATCAAAGAGAAGACCAGTTAGTAAACGTCTTTTGAAGAAGAGACGTCAACTCTGTCGTAGAATTAGACTTGTCAAGAAGCAAATTAAAAAACTCACATTCAAGATTGCTAAAGCCTCTGATAGAGCCATGACCAAGATTGTTAGAAAGATCAAGGTTAGAAAACTCTTGCTCCGTGCTTTGAGAAGAAAGCTCAGATCACTCAAGAGAAAGATTCAAAGAAAGCAAAGAAAGGTCAAGAAATCTCAAAAGAAGAATCGTCGTTTGACTTCTACCTTGAGAAAGCTCAAGAGAAAGGTCCTTAGATTGGCCAGAAAGCAACAACAAAAGAGAAGATCACCAAGAAGAAGACCAAGAATTATCATCCTTGCATTCAATCGTGCTCAATTCTTCAACAAATTGGTGAGAAATAGCAAACATCGTTTCTATGGAAAGAGAGGATTCAGAAAGTATGCTCGTTTGTTGAGTTTACTCAAATTGGTCAGAGCTAAGAAGGCTGCTTTGACAAAGAAGAGAAACTTCTACGCAAAGAAGGAAAAGAGAATTGTCTCCTTGTTGAGAAAATTAAAACAAAGATGGTCTGTTGGAAGAAGTAGAAGATCATCAAAGAGAACCAAGATTACAAGAATTGTCTTGAGAAATGTTGACTCAAAGAAGAAGGTTAAACTCGTCATTCCAAAGAGATTGAAGAAGAAGGTTAAGAAGATTGTTGTTTATAGTGTTAAACAATAAATATTTAATTTGAATTTCCTTAAATTGATGAAATAGTTTACAGTTTTTAGGTGGTATGGAAATAATTATTTAATTAGTTGATGATTATGAAAATAACTGTAATTACTTCGGTATGTTCTGTTAAAGAATGAACATTCTCGCGTTATTGAAACCAATCCAGTTCACGTAGGCGAATGATGACGATTCTTGACGAAACTCAAATAAAAGTTTGTATTATTAATATCAATAATAAAACAATAGAATTTTCAATCTTGCGTAACAAACAACCATTAGATCATCATAATTAAATTTTGTCACTTGTCTTAGCCAATAGGGAGCCTTTCGAATAATTAACCATCATAAAAAAAAATGTTAACACGAAACAGAACAGACTCAAATTCTTCGGATCTTTCAACAGGAAGCTATGACAGCGGATCAGCAGGCAGTGGAAAGGAAAATCTCTTCAAACAAATGTATGCGTAAGTGTCTCCCAATATTACATATATATGTATTATTAATTTGTTGAAACAAAATCAAAAACTTCGGAAAATCCTTACGATACATACAAATATCATCAAAATATTTATTATAATATGTGATGAATAATATATTAAAATAGTCAACGTGATTCCATTTCTTTAAAATCTGGCAAATTAGTAAAACAAGGTAAAACAGTGAAAAATTGGAAGGAACGTTTTTTCATGTTGAGAAGAGATGGACTCTACTATCATGAATTGACTACAAAGGGACAAGCAGGAAAGCTGAAAGGTAAAATTTCATTTAAGGAAATCAAGGGAAATCCAACTTGTATTCAGAAAGTAACGGTTACTGTTAAAAACAAACAGAGATCAGCAATTTCTATTGAACTTCCTGAACGTGTGTATTTTGTCTATTCTGAATCTGAAATTGAATTCAACGATTGGTACAAATCAATAATTCAGGTCTTGTCAATGAAGGATGAAGAACCAGCATCAAGATTGACTCCACGTACAGGAACACCAAATACTCCAACAAGTGGGACAATTACACAAGATATTTTCAATACAAAACCAGCAGCATCACCAAGTGGTGGAAGTGGAACTTTTGGAACACCTCCATTGAGAAGTTTTGATTTGAAGAAAGCTTCACCATCATCAGCTTCACCTCTTGATTATGGTTCATCACCAATGGATTTCAAACGTACTAATAGTAATTTATCGGATGTGACGACAAGTGATGATTCTGACACAAGCTCCTATCAAAAATCATTACATGGTGACTTGTTATCGGAATTTGATGAATTTGGTGCCGCAAGAAACAGTGATGCAGAGAGTGTTGATTTTGAACAGCAACCACAACAAAATGTTGGACCAATCTTGACTGAAGATGATGAGTACAATATTGCAATGAGTGCTGTTGAAATTTTCCTCAAGAAGGAAGAAGAACGAACACCACACGAGCAAGCATACATTATTGCTCTCAATGATTACAGAAGAAGGTTGGATGAACATGCAAGGAGAGCGAATGCTCGTCCAGAATATTCACTCGCTGTTGGAACTTGTATATTTTTAACACCAGAAAAGGATAGAACTATCTCAGAACAGGAATATGTTAAGGATGTATTGTCTGCTTTCTTTGAGGATCAAAAAGAATCTGATAAGAGTAGATTGCTACCTCTCAAGATTCAAATGGATATTGTAAAGGCAGCTAAATTACTCAAAGAAAAACCAGAAAATCAAAGAACAGAAGAAGAGAAGCAATATATTTCAAGAGTTGAGGAAATACAGAGACAACTCAATAGATTCTCTCTCAAGAATGGTTTGAAAATCAATCACTCTCTTTCCACACTCCCTCTCCAATTACTAACAACAGAGAAAACCAAAGAACCACCTCAACATCCACTCTATCACAATTGTGCCATTAGAGAAGCTGATCCACAAGCTGCAGATGATGAAAAACCAAATTTACTCTCCGTAGAAGAGAATGATTTCCTCCAGGTCTTTATCGATCAAAACAACCTTAATTTCTAAGTGAATGTTCCAAGAGAGATCTGTAATTTTATAATAAAACAATTTGATTCAATTTCTACAACAGTAAATAGGATCATATGATAAATCTCACATTCTAATTGAGTCAAGCCACTCTATCACAACTCAACGTTGCGAATTGAGATACTCAATTTAATATTCTTCCTCAATGCTTTTTGATTCTTCACTGAGGAAAATTAAAATAGAACTGGGCGGTAAATGCCTTCGATTTGAGGTTCTATTTTCATTTTAAAAAAAATCTGTTGGAATATTCAGCATCCTCCCCATCAGAGAAATTTATTCAGCATTATCAGGTTGTGTTGGATTTATTACCGACTGATATCAACAGCAAAAACAAGGTTTTGAATATAACGGATTGTGAATAATAGTATTTATTTTTGTACAGAGTCTCTCTAAGATAACTCTTTTGAATTTGAATTGGTTGTACTTCCGAAAATTAATTGTGTGTGATGAAGAATCAATAATATAATTATTATTAATAGTACTAACAATTATTTAGAAAAAAACAAATGGTAAAAAATTCATCACCTCCAACCAATGGAGAATATCAACCAACACGGATTGAATTATTTAAGCAAAATCATGATATTGCTTTTAATTTCTTGAAAAAGGGTATTGAACTTGATGAGAGCAAACAATTGGAAAAAGCCAGAGATTACTATCGTGAGGGTATGTAAAAAATTGTTGTAAAATTATTGTAACTGATGATTTTTTAGGCATTCAATCGATTCTACAAGCAGAAAGAGTTCCTCTCTCACAACAGGAAAGGTATCAAGCAAAAGCCATGTTGGATAAACTTTCAAAACACAAAACCATGTTTTATGAGAGAGTGAAAGAAATTGATCAAATTCTTTTCAGTCAACAGCAAGCAAAACAAACTCAATTGGATAATCTCAGCAATAACAATGCAAGTGGAGGATTTTTCTCTGGGTTTATGAAAATGTTTTCACCACTCTCAACACCTCCTAACAGTTCATCCAACAATAATAGTAACACTCAACAAGCTATCTCACAAGAAACAAGAAAATTGTGTAGTGTAAATAATAATAGACACGAGCCAATCTATAATCAATATACGACCAACAGCCAAGTGATTAGGAGCTTCCCAGCAGTTTCTTCAATTGGTCAATCTTCAACCAACATGTACAATAGTGTCAATATTTGTGATGGTATTTCTTCATCTGAGAAGAGAAGTCCAACACCACCAAGAAATAGAAGTAATTCAAATGATAAGATTTTATTTGGCCACTATGATGCTCTTGGATCACTTCCACAAAACAACATGGGTCACTATCAACAACCACCTCAACAATCATCTCAACAACAACAGCAACCTTTAGTTCCAAAACAAAATTCTGTAACTGCACTCAGAAATACTACCTCAGCAACATCATCAACAACAACAGCTAACAATAAGAAACCTTCCCTTGATCAAATTCCAGAACTCAAAGGTGTTGATAGGAAACTTTTGGATCACATTTTGAATGAAGTGATTGAAACAAAAACAACTAATTGGGATGACATTGCTGGACTTAAGGATGCCAAACAAACACTTCTTGAAACAGTAATCTTACCAAGTATAAGACCTGATCTTTTTAATGGACTGAGAGCTCCATGTAGAGGTATTTTACTTTTTGGACCACCTGGTACAGGTAAAACAATGATTGCAAGAGCATGTGCCTCTCAATGTAATGCTACTTTCTTTTCTATTAGTGCTGGGTCCTTAGTTTCGAAATATCATGGCGAAGGTGAAAAATTAGTGAGATGCTTATTTGCTGCTGCCAGATATTTGCAGCCGTCTGTGATATTTATTGATGAAATTGATTCGATACTATCTGCACGTAGCTCTGAAGAACATGAGGCTAGTAGAAGAATGAAAACAGAGTTTATGATTCAAATGGATGGTGTTAGTAATATGAATGGGAAAGAAGATAGAGTTCTTGTAATGGGAGCTACAAACATTCCAACCGAATTGGATGAAGCTATTCTCAGAAGATTCACCAAGAGAATATATATACCTCTTCCTGATCATGCAGCAAGAGCATCACTCATTAAGCAACTTTCACATGGTCAAAATATGAGTTTGAGTGAAACCGATATCAACAAGATTTGTGTAGCCACTGAAGGATTTTCTGGAAGTGATCTGACAGCCCTGTGTAAAGAAACGTCAATGGTTCCTCTGAGAGAAATAAGTATGGATCAACTCATTTCTATAGATGCACGAAAGATTAGACCAATCGTGCTCAAGGATTTCCAATCTTCTCTCGTGCATGTTAGACCTTCCACATCACAAGATACTATTAAGAAGTTAGAAAAGTGGAATGAAAGCTATGGAACTTTTGCAAAGGGTATTTAATGAGTAAACATAAACCTTCATTTGACGATTTTACTTCTTTTCCCTTACTCATTTTCTGTTGTTTAGAAATTATTGGAAGTAGATCGTCTATCGAGTAAATTTATACTTTGGTATTTCACCACTTTCTTCTTTCAGTTTCTTTTCGTTTTCATAGGTTTTTTGTTCTTCAAGTATTTGATGGAAGTCGTGTGTTGGTGCAAATTGTTTGGCAAGACCCAATTGAGATCTATCGAATTTATCTCTTAATTTTTTGGTATCAACTTTACCTCCTCTTTGTTCCTCTTTCTTCTTGTCCATCAGAATTAATCTTTCTTCTGCTTGATCGTCTGATAATTCAAATCGTTCTCCAGACATTGATTCTACTATTTCTTTGTTATTTCTATAAAATTCTTCCAATTCTTTGCTTTCTTTACTATAGATATGATAATACGTTCCAATAAAACCAAAAATCACAGCAAATATTCCAATTCTTTTCCAAAAAGTGCTATAATTTTTAATAAATCCATAAATTCAATTCATTACATACTATAATTTATAGTCGTGCAAATGTCTCTCCTCAATATCTAAAATTCTCTTTGCCTTTACAAATTCACTCGCTGTGGAAATATCATACAATTGTGACATTTTCCTTGCATAGCAAGATGGAGTCGGAAAGTGTTCTCTCCAATTAATTTGCATATCCGAGATGATCCTATCCTTTTCTTCATCCGATAAATGTCTCAGAGAATTATTATGCGTAAAAACAGTAGGATTTTTCCTTTCTGCAGATACTTCTGATGAAAGGCTATTTAATTTTCTCGAACAATCGGAATAACACATGCCACTTTTATGACCACAACTATTTAATAACACCAAATGAGAGCAATTTAAATTTCCAATATTGATATTATTTCGCAATCCAAAATATTGCAATTTTGCTCCAAATAAGTTCCTTCTCATTCTTTGCATTTTTTTTAATGTTTTGGAAAATTAATTTAAATCCAACTCTCCTAACAATAATAACAAAGAAAGAGCCAACAAAGAATTCCCGATATTGTCTGGTGCTGGTATCTGAATTTTACTTCATCACTGCCAATGTGGAATACTGTTTGTAAAGAAGATATTTTTTTCAATTATTGAATTAAATTCGATACTAAAAGCAAAACATTATGAGTGTTGTTACATTAGCAGATAATTGTCTCATATTGATAATTCCATTCAATAATCCAGATTAAACATGCTGAGACAAGGCCGATATTGAAATAGATTAAATTTGATTTCGAAACACTAAAATGCACAAGAAATGTTTGAAATTGTTGTTCCTTCTTTTTGGAAAAAAGTTAGCAACTAAAAAAGAAATGACTACTATACTTTCACCTCATTTTTCAAATTAAAATAAAGCTTACTGACCTAAATTAATCAAGGTGATCACGTTTTCTTTACTTCTTTGCGTAGAATAGTTGTAAACGAAACTCAACAGACCAAAAAAAACTAAAAACACGCCCACAAGATGAATTTACTTCATGCTTTCACCATCTTGTTGTTGGTTTTCACTCTCATACTCCAAATAACCAATGGACCTGTCGAATGCCAAACCATCAACACAATTGCTGGCTCGCTTCCATATGGCTATAATGGTGATAATCAAGTGGCAATAAAAGCAGAACTCTACCAACCAAAACAATTGGCTTATTACAATAACGAGGTTTATATTGCTGACAGTGCCAATCATATGATTAGAAAAATACTTTCGAATGGGACAATAGTTTCGATTGCTGGTTGGATGGGTTCACCTGGCTATAATGGTGATAATCAATTGGCTAACATGGCTAAACTCAATGCTCCAAATGGTTTGGCAATTTCTTCTGCCACAGGTCACATCTATATCGCGGGTTAGTTGTTAATTTTTATTGGAATTTAACTTTTGCAAGATACTCAAAATTATCGAGTTAGAAAGATTGTAAATGGTGTCATTTCAACAATTTCTGGAACTGGAGTACAAGGCAGTTGTTCAGATGGAGTTCTAGCTATCAACTGTGCATTATACTCTCCATCCAATATTGCTATTCGAACTATTGAAGGAGTTGGTGATGAAATTTACATTGCCGATTCGAGTATCGTTAGGAAGATTGGAACAGATGGAAAAATCTATAGATATGCAGGTGGAGGCAATGAAAATATTGAGTATGGCTCTGCAGTTTCAGCTCAACTTGCCTCTCCTCTCAGTGTTGGAATTTCACCCACTACAGGAGAGCTCTTCATTGGAATAGGAATCAATTATATTATTAGAAAGGTCTTTCTGAATGGTACAATAGTTTCTGTAGCGGAGAAGGAAAGTTCTATTCAGGGTTTTGTTTCGGGTGTTACTGGAATATCATTTTCAAATACTTCTCTCTATTACACAGAGTATCAGGCACGTGTTAAACAACTATTCCTCTCAAATGGAACATTTTCTGTTATTGGTGGAAACCTTAATGTTATGGTTACCAATTATCAAGATAACATTTTGGCAACAGATGCCACTCTATTAGGTCTGAAAGGAATTGCATTCTCTCCAGAAAAGAATGAAGTGTATATCTCTGAATATGATTCATTCGCTACTAATGGAAGAGTGAGAAAGATTGGATCTGATGGATATATTGTAACAGTGGCAGGTAATTTGACAAGTTTGAATAGTGGATATAATGGTGATGATATTATGGCCACGGATGCAAAATTGTATAGACCTGAGGCTGTAATAGTTTCTAATAGTGGGGATGTCATAATTTCAGATACTGGTAATAGTAGAATTAGAAAGATTCTGTCTAGTGGTAAAATTGTGACCATTGTTGGACAAGGAAACTTTGGTAATACTGCAAATTATAATGGAGATGGTATTCCTGCTATTGCTGCAAATATCAAATTTCCAAGTGCTATTTTACTTTCATCTAGCAATGAATTGTACATTGCCGATTTTGGTAATTATCGAGTTCGAAAGGTACTTGCTAACGGAACGATAACAACCATCGCAGGAACAGGTTCTAACATAGAATCTACTGCCTTAGATTTGGCCATTAATGTTGGAATTGGATCACCAATAGGTTTAGCTATTTTTGGTGATGAGGTTTATTTCACCACAAATTCCAATAGAGTTAGAAAGATTTTGAGTAATGGAACTTTAATAGTCTATGCAGGTACTGGAACAGTTGGCTATGATTCAAATAATGTATTGGCCGTTAATGCTAAACTAAATGCTCCAACATTCTTGGCTGTTTATCCTAATGGAGATTTGCTGATTTCAGATAGTTTCAATTATATGATTAGAAAAGTTCTGACAAATGGTACCATTATTCGAGTTGCAGGAACTGGAACATTTGGATACAATGGAGACAACATCTTGGCTATAAATGCCCAATTGGCTAATCCACAAGGAATTCATATACTTTCGAACGGTGATATTCTATTCTCAGATCAGTTCAATTATAGGGTGAGAAAAATTCTGACCAATGGAACAATTTTAACAGTTGCTGGATCTGGAACTTTTGGATACAATGGAGAAAATTTACCAGCTTTAAGTACACAATTATATGCAGCTCAGGGCTTGGCAGTTTCACCTATCGATGGTTCGATTATTTTAGCTGACACGTCAAATCACAGAATTAGGAAAATATTAGATTTCTGTGATTCGAATAGAACTTGTAATAATAATGGTTTCTGTAACACAACCTCTAATCAATGCGTTTGTTATTCGGGATGGATTGGGTCAACATGTTCCTCCTTTTCATGTGATGCCTTAAACAATTGTAATGGAAATGGAAAGTGTATTGGAAATAACACTTGCCAATGTGATTTGGGATGGAGAGGAAATTCTCAATGCAGTCAATATTCATGTGAAATTTACAATAATTGTTATGGAAATGGAATGTGTGTGAAAAACAATACATGTGAGTGTTATTCTGGATGGAGAGGATCATCTGCTAATTGTTCACAGTTTTCATGTGATGGAGTGGCAAACTGCTCAGAACATGGTATTTGTATGGGAAATAATTCATGCTCATGTCACACTGGATGGAAAAATAACCAATGCTCAGAAATTTCATGTGACATTCTCAATAATTGTTATGGAAATGGCATTTGTAAAACGAATAATACATGTGAATGCAATTCAGGATGGAAAGGTGCCTCAAATTGCTCTCTTTTCACATGTGAAGGTGTTGGAAATTGCAGTTCTCATGGAAAATGTATTGGAAATAACACTTGCCAATGTGATTTGGGATGGAAAGGAAATTCTCAATGCAGTCAATTTTCTTGTGAGATTTACAATAATTGCAATGGAAACGGATATTGTAAAAGTAGCAATAGTTGTGAATGTAATTCTGGATGGAAAGGTTCATTAGATTGTTCCCAATTCTCATGCGAAGGCGTCAACAATTGTTCATCTCATGGTATTTGTTATGGAGCCAATACTTGTGTATGTGAAAAGGGATGGAAAGGAAATTCTCAATGTTCTCGTCCATCATGTGAAGAATTGCAGAATTGTAATGGTAATGGAAACTGCACACTCAATGGCAACTGTTCCTGTAATAGTGGCTGGGAGGGAGCTGATTGTTCCACCATTTCAAAAGTGATAGCAGCCAATGAATCCAATAATAATACTGTGACCATTGTAGTGACAGTTGTGGCTGTAGTCGTTGTTTTATTGATTATTGCTGCCATTGTGATAATAGTCATAGCAGTTATATTGTCAAGAAAGTATGTGAAGAAACCTAGCAATGAGTCGAAGCATGAAACAATTTTGAAGAATGATTTTGAGCTCATTGATGAAAATACGAATAGCAATACCATGACGTCGATGAAACCTGTTGAAACCATCCAATCGACGTCAATGAACGAAACCTCAATAGTTTCAGATTACCCATCTGATTCATTTCTTAGCTCAACAAAAGTTTCCTCCATTGTTTCGTCATCAGCAAAACCACTCACTCCAACTAACTCTTCAAGTCAATTCTCAATGCTTAAGGATCGTTATCAGATACAGGAAGTAATTGGGCAAGGATCTTTCGGCAAATGTTTTCTTTGTTTAGATTTGAAAAAACAAAATCAACCAGTTGCTATCAAAACCATAAGTATAGGAGAGAACAAACACTCAAAGATCATTGATGAATGCTCCAAGACTATTTCTTACAAACATCCAAGATTGGTACAAGTTTATGAATTCTTCGAATCTGAACTTCTCAATTCAATTTGCATTGTAATGAAATTTTACAATGGAGATTTGGAAACACTATTGAAAAAGCAACAAGGATTCCTACCTGAAAGTATGATCATCAAAATGATGAAACAATTAGGTGATGGTTTGGATTATCTTCACAATGAAAAGATGATTATTCACAGAGATATCAAACCAAAGAATATTTTCATTGAATCATTCGATATTGAAAGAGAGGAAATCAATGTAGTTATTGGAGATTATGGAGAAGCAAAGGATCTGGGAGAAACCAGCAATACAGTTGCAGGAACAATTATCTACATGGCTCCAGAGGTCTTTTCCAGAAAATATGATTGTAGCGCTGATATATTTTCTCTGGGAGTGACACTTGTACAAAGTATGTCAGCAAGTGGATTCGATTTCTCAGTCACGGACAAACTCATGTACGAAGCAGAGGAGAGTGTACTGCAAAGAGTGAGTGAACATTTACTTTCCAGAAACTATTCGATTCATTTGTGTGAGTTTGTAATTTCCATGTTATCAAGAGATCCTAAAAAGAGACCTACCTGTTTAGATATTAAGAATTATTGAAACAATTTCAAACTTGTAGTATCAATTCTTTATTTGAATTTCAAATTTGTAATATCAATTTCAAATGTTTGTCAATGTTCAACCCAAATATTCCAAAATGCACAAGAAATTAAATTTTTTTAATTCATTACAAAAAAATGTCTCCAGAATCGAAGTCGGAATTGAACCTCGTTACCATCACAGAAAATAATAGTCAAGAAGCAACAAGTTCCTCTCTTGATCAAGCATCATCTTCATCACCAACTACGACGGTGGGTGGTTATAAATTTGAAGAAAAATTTGGTGATTTATTCTCATCAGAGGATTCGATTTGTCATTGTGTGAGTGAGTGTTTATCTATGAGCAAGGGAATTGCAACCTTTTTCAAGGATAAATATGGTAGAGTGGACGAATTGAAGAAACAGAGAGCCAAGACGGGTGGTCTTGCTGTTTTGCACATTCCAGAGGAAGGAAAATATATCTAGTAAGTTTTTGAATTTATTCTTTTTTTGTAAACATTATTGAAATATTATTCATTCATAATATTAATTTTAATAATATGCTCAATAGCTATTTGGTCACTAAGGAAAAATACTACCTGAAACCAACTTATGAAACTCTGACCTCGAGTTTGCAAGCCATGAAGAAGCATGCCCAGGAACATTCTGTAAAGAGAATTTCACTCCCATTAATTGGGTGTGGTTTGGACAGATTGTCATGGTCTAGAGTGAGACAAATTTTGGATAACACGTTTGGAGATATGGACATGACATTAACACTTTACAAAATTGAAAGCAATAACGACAACAATTCAACAAGCTCACGTGGTAGAAGTAACAACAGTAGCAATAACAGAAGAGGTAGAGGTGGTGGATCAAGTCAAAAACGTTCTGGAAATTACAACTCTGGAAACAATAAGAGAGTGAAATAATTTGTGGACTGTTGAATTATGTAAATATAAATTGATTTCACAATTAGTGCTATCTGATTAATATATTAGAATTTATTAAAAACTCTAACTTACGCAACTAATGGGATTGATTTGGTGCAGTAAATGTCAAAATCATTTGCTCTTTCGAAAATATTATTCTCTAAAAAATGTCATTAAATCAAGTTGCTATTTCTACCATCACGGACCAAATACGAAATATTTCTTCAACACTTTATCAAGATCTTTGTAATTTTCTTCCTACACTAAAGGAAACTAAACAATTAGATTCTAAAAATCTAACACTCTTGAATATTCTTCACATTTTTCCATATACAATTATTTCCTTGATTTTTCCTTTCATCATTAGATACTTCTTGGTTGGAAATTCAGGTATTGATAGCCTTGATTCTTTTTCTAATGGATTTATTCGAATGTCGGGAGCTTTTAGTTTCGGATTATTATTAATGTTATTTAATCATAGAAAATATATTGATTTTGCAGAAAATAATCAACAAGCATCGTCATCACCAACTTTCTCCGGAGAAAGGAAAAGCATCTTCCTCATGATGACTTTCTATTTTGCCTATTTATTAATTTCTTCAGTGATTAATTTACTTTTTAATTTTGGATTTTTCAAGTTGCTCTTTTCAATTCTCAAGATTTGTTGGTATTTTGTAATGATGTTCCACAATGCTACTCAATCCTCAATACTCACCTCAAAGAAGGAAAATTAATAACAATAACAATAACCTATATACACGGCCGTGGCGGCAATTTTTGATGAATTATTTTGTAAATTAAATAACCTTAATGTATAATAATAATAATTTTTATTAGTAAATTTATTAAACATTAACTTTGTAAAGTATTTAAATAATTATTATTAAAGCCTGATCGTGATGATGATGAACTTTGCTCTTTTAATAAATTTAATATTTAAATAATTTTAAAAAAATGCAATCATCTTCCGATTCTCATCCCATCATTAAAATTATAAAAATCATTCATGGGAGTGAGATTAGACGTTTTTACTTTTCTCCGAGTAGAATCAATACATTGCAACAATTACATGAAAAGATTAGGGAAATATTTGGATTGGCTAGTGATTTTAGAATTATTTTGGTATTTGGAGCAAACAAGGTCATCTCTTCCGATGATTCTCTGTTGTATTTGATAGAGAGTGCTATGGCTGATCAAAGTGATTTGATATTTAAATTGGTGGATAAGGAACCTGTGGTGGAGAATGTTGCGCTCTCTGTTGAGGATTTCATATCAAAGGTTCAGACAATGACCAAGCAGTTGAATATTAATGATAAGGGCATTCTCCTCAACAAGTGTCTGAATTATTTGGAAATTGAATTGAATAATGCAAAGGCAATTGTACCCACTGCTGCAGTGGAGAATACAGGGAATACTCTTGTGGAGACTCCTACTGAAAAGACAAAATATGGACAGAAGTTGGCTAAATTTATGGGTGATGTCACAATACCTGATCAAACTGTTATCAAGCCATCTACTAAATTTGTAAAAACATGGAAATTTAAGAATTGTGGAAATAGACCTCTTCCAAAGAATAGTAGGCTCATGTTCTTGAAAGGAAACAAGCGAGTGAATCATTTCAATAGTCCTCCTTTTGTGGAATTGGGAAATACAGAAAATCAAATCAACCCAGGTGATGAGTTTGTTGTTTCAATAGAATTACAGACCCCAGAAACCGAAGGTGTATTATCATCCTATTTCAGAATGGCAGATGAAAATAGTGAACCATTTGGGCAAAAGGTTTGGGTTTGTGTGAATGTTGTCAAATAATCAAAAATTAGATTAAGATTACATGAAAATCAAAGATGTTTGGACCTTTATTTTTCTGATAATTGTAATTGATTATTACTCAATTCATCCTTCTTTGCAAAATACCAATCAGGAAGATTTGAAATGCTCTCTTCAGCAAATCCATTTCCCTCCAAAATATCAATAACTTTTTGCTGAACTTGTTTTGCATCGAGATTATTGACATTAATACATGCCAATTTCTTTCCACTCAATACTACATTATTGACCTGGTCGAATCGGTACTTTAAATAATAGGCCCACATTAAGGAATCAAACAGATTGGAAAATTCCTTATATTCCCTCTTCTTTGTTGACCTTTCCCATCTCCTCTTTTTTGCTACCTCCTTATCTGTGGTATCCAAATAGATTACAATATCAAAGTGCTTATCAATTATTGGTTTTTCACAACATGACAAGTACCCTTCAACAATCAAATATTGCTTATTTTTACAAATTTCCAATTCCTTCACAATTTCATTCTCAAATTTTACAAAATCAACAGATTCTACACATTCCATATTTCCCTTCAATTCCTGTTTCAATTCTTCAAATGGTTTGCTTCTACATTGATCTTGACAGATAGAATTTGTGTCATACTTTTTACGCAAATATCTACTCAAGGTTGTCTTTCTAAAATCATCATCATTCCGAATATTTTCAAGAGATATTCCTCATCAAAAACATTCGATTAGTCAATTAACTTACCCTGAAGAAGTGGATCCACAGATGCAAATCACAACTGGTCGACTCGTACTACTACTATTGTTGAATCCTTCCATTTTTTTTACGTATTTTCTAAATTTAAAGTTCAAATTCAAACATGAAAAACGTTAGATGATGTTTCAAGTTCAGTCAATTACAATAATCGACAAATTGAATGTTGTTAGGATTCGAATATGTTTTCATCAATGGTATTGTAAAATGAATAATATTTAATATTATTTAAGATTTAAGATTACGCTTCTCATTAAGATTGCAATTTTCAACTATGCTATTAATAACCTCAAACACAGAAGAAAAATTGAAGAGAGATTGAGACAGAAGAGAATGGGAAAATATTATGCTGTTCATAAGGGTAGAACACCTGGAATTTACTTTTCCTGGGAAGATTGCAAGAAACAAGTGGAGGGTTATCCAGGCAATGTCTACAAATGCTTCCCAACCGTTGCTGTGGCTGAGCTATTTGCCAAGAAGGGTCCATTGAAGTATAAACTAGCAGTAAGGACACTTCTTCATCGAGATGCATGGGTCATTTCGAGTGATGATGAAGATGAGTATATTAACAGTTGCAATGCTGTGAATAAGAACAATAAGAAGGATGATAAGGAAAGTAAAGAAACTACACTGGCTTCATCCAATCCCGATAATATTAATAACAGTAACAATAGTGATCAAAAGATGAATAATACTCCAAGCAATAATAATGTTAACTCCAATAACAATAATAATAATAGTGAGAAAGATGATAATAGACCACCTATTTGCCAATTTTACATGTCACAAAGAGGATGTCGGTTTGGAGATAATTGCAGATTCTATCATCCTCCAAATGATGATTCTCCTGAACAATGTTATGATGATTCCGATTCCGATGATAGTGATGATGTACCATTGTGTGTCTATTGGCAAAGAGGATATTGTGGAAGGGGCAATTGTTGTCCATTCTATCATGATTAGACATCTTAGTATGTGCACCTTAATATGCAAGCTCAGTACCTTAGCGTTGCAGGATCCATAATTCAGAAATTCCATAGGCCTCTCTTTACACAAGTGCCATCCTACTCATTGAATATGTTTATAAACTAAAAATCAACATTTGAAATTCCTACATTACAACTAAATCTCTTCTTTATTTAGGTTTCAAAAGTATTGGAATTCTTGAGTTTCCCATTAAGAAATACCATTCAGATTTGAAAGATTACGGTAAGGTGTTAGCTGCGATTCTTCCATTCATTGAATAATTTGAAATGATAACTGTTGAATATTTTGTAAAATATCATATCAGGAAATGCTAATTCAAGAGTGTGATACAGAATGTTATCAATTGAAATCAAACCTAATGTTTACATCAATTTGTATTGAGTTTTTAAGTGTATATGTTGTAAGTATTTGTAATACATTGTAAAAATGATATTCGTATAAAAGTTATGATGTTTCAAACAAGGAAATTTCATTTTAGTATTGTCCAAAGATTCTTAATGTCCAATAATAGTGGTCTTTAAAAGATTTTTCCTCTATGAAAGAACATTATGGACACATATCCGTGTCTTGTCATCCTAATTGCCCAACTAATTTTTGTGTGATCTGAATCCTAACCATTCAAGTACACGCTCAATCGTTTCAATGAACACTAACCTAGTTACTCCTCAATGAATTTCATTACTTCTCCATTCAACTTTCCCCCATTCGTTCACCAAATTTACTAACTTGTCATTGAGGCATCTTATCTCGATAGGTTTTTTGTATGTTTTTAGATAGATTCGCTGCAAACTCTCATGATTGCTTCAAAGCCGACTCAAACCGAATGTTTTTACATTCTCTCTTAATAGAAGAATTTCATGAAATGATGCAATCAAATAAAAAAACCTTGCCGCCACAATACACCATTAAAAATCAACTTGAAAAAAAACAACACAAACCCATCAACAACTATCACCACCATAAATTGATCCATTTAAACCTCAATTGGACATCCATCACACTGCTATTGAGAGAGACGCACAACACTGAACAACAACAATTGAATAAGAATTGACGTAAATCTCTCTTCAGCATTATCAACATTGGAAAAAAACGAAACTCTTAATCATTATTAATGGGACAACGGTTATCAATTAATACGACAGGTAGCTTTTCGATATCGAGTATTGGAAATTTAATACCAGACTCGGAGGTTAGTCAGAGTGATAATCGTGAGGAGGATCAACGACCACCACGAATCATCTCTGAGGAAGAACGACAAAACACAGTAAGGCTCAAATTACTGAAAGCTAATATTGTAGCAGCTGCTGCAACGACTCGGTCTGGAACAGCATGTTCAGCCTCTCCTCAGAGTTTTAGAAGGAGAGCTGCTAGTGATTATGGAATTCATGGAAAACAATCATCACATTCAACGGATGACATGACAATATCAGGATATAAGGATGAACAAACTGCTCTCTTGTTGGAAAAGATGAAACACATTCCTCCAATTCAGGAATTTGTGGAGCAAATGAGTAATGAAGAAAAACTATTGAAATCATATTTGGACTATAGTTGGGTTTCAACAGTCGCCATTATTGAGAGGTCTGTATCAGAGAGTATGAGATTTCTTGCTAAGGGTATTGGTGACTTTTTTAATGTTGCCATCAATGAGATGCATTTAAAAACTCGAGATTCGAATAGTGATGAAGACGGAGATGTAATGAACTCTATGGAATTGAATCCATACGTTGAAGTTAAGCTTCTCATAGTTCCTTATATACATCTGAATGAAGGATCCAGTTTCAGCACAGTCAGTTTTCCAGTTCTGGATCATTTTCCTGTAGACACAGAGGAAGATGCCCAGACTGGCAAGAAACTTGACCCTCAAAGATTTACATTCTCAAGACCTTCTCGTTTCACTCTCGCTCTTGTAGTAGGTCCTTGGTTGCTCTTCTTTGATCCTTTAACGAATTTGATCATTCCAAAGAAGCTGTACGGTATGGCAAAGATAATGGCATCAGGTCTCCCAGAACTTTTCATCACAAAGCAACGAAACAAACTTACAGAGAAACTTGCCTCATGCATTGTTTCTTGGAACACATCTAAATTGTACAGGACCGATGAAGATATTTTCTCTCGGCACTCACACCCTAACGTTTACGGAAATGGTATTGATTTTATTGAAGATTTTATTCGAAATCAATTGAATATTGATTACACAACATTTCCAACTGTAAAATATTTTACCACATTCCTTGATAATATTAAACATCAAGGATGGTCACCCTTAGTAGTTGATTTGAATAGTGAACTGATGGAGAAGTATGGCAGTTTCATTGAAGCTAAGGATGAAGTAACAGAAAGAGGTAAACGAACACTATTTGAATTCACTTCACATGAACAACTCGATAATATGGTGAAAGAAATGATGCTCAGTGACTTGATGAATCACAATCCAATGACAGCCACTGACATTTTTAAGGAAACTAAAGAGGTTTCACACTTTTTTGTTGACGTTTTAAAGTTAATGGATAGAGCTTGGTGGATGAGTCATCTATTTGATATCAATGAAGAAAACCCAGAGCTGTCAGAACCATGTAAAGGACATCACCATTCAGCAATAGCCACTAAGATTACAGATAGCTCCCCTAAGCATGTGAAACAAACCAGAGACACTATTGGTCTTCTTGGATGTCCATTTGCTCATCCAATTCCTGACTATGAGAAACTTTTAGAGTGTTACCCGAGACGAAAGAAGAAACGCATGACTTGCTCCTCTCCAACAAAATCCCCTTCAAGATCTCCTCGCTCAGTATCACCACGTTCTCCTAGATCCCCTCAAACACCTCAATCTCCATATCCTTCCTCCTATGCATCACCCTCATCACTACAAGTGCCCAAAAACGATAAGAGACGACATAATTCTGCCACACTAAGGTAGAATTAATTTCACACACAAGATTGAATTCATGGTATTTCAATAAAATAAATTATTGTTGTGGTTTACTAGTAGTAGCAGCAGCAGCAGTAGTAGTAGTGTACCGTTGGTTGGAATTGGCTTTGGTGGGAGTGGACCTTGTATTTGGACACCAGCAAAGTAATTAGCGTTATATTTGATGTATGTCAAAACCGATTCGAAAACACCTGGAATTAAAAAGTTAATATAAACAACATAGGATGTTGGATGTTTGTCATTGAGCAATGGTTGAATTTTATCCTCGTTAAGAACATTTCCCGAGAATGAAGGTACTTGTGTTTGTAAATATTTCAACATTTCACTCCACACAATTGTCTTTGGAATGGTAAAACGACCAAAGCAGACAGGTTGTCTTTCTTGTGGTGTTGTTGATTCAGTAGTTGGAACAGCTGTGACTGTTTGTTGAACAGATTGCATTGTTTGTTGAGCATATGTTGGTTGAGTTACAACTTGTTGTGGAAGTTGTAATTCTTGTTGTGGATTGGTGTTTGCTGGAATGGTTACAATATTTGGATGGTGTACCTTCTTGTGATGTTGTCCTCCTCTGTGATGACTTCCTCCTCTGGTACTTTGATTGTTGTGAACTCTATTGTTAGTAGAAGTAGTAGAAGTTTGTTGATGATTACCTCCTCTAGAATTGGTAGTAGTAGTTGTAGTGGTAGTAGTATTATTAATATGATGATTACCAACTCTTCCACCTCTATTTCCTCTTCCTCTTCCTCGGTTATTATTTCCACCTCTTCCCTTGTTATGATGATGGTGTTGTTGATTACCAGTAGTAAAGGAAGCAGCAGTGCTTGTAGTTGGAGCTTGTTCTTGAGTTTCAACAGTGGTAGCAACAGCAGCAGTAGTAGTAGCGGTTGTTGTTTCTTGTGTTGTGTTATTGTTCTCTTCTGGCGCTCTCATTTTTGTGTGGATTTTTTTCAAAAAGTTCAAAATATTCTTGTTTTACAATTTTAATTTTTTTAAAATTTGCAATGATGACACACAATATGACCCGAGTTGAAGGTGAATTAGGTGCTACTGAAAGGAGTTTGGATGATGAGCAATTGAAAAATGTTTTTTGGGATTTTTTTAATAAGATGACGATTTTATGAATTGATGGTTCAGTTTCAAAATGAACAGGATATTTTGGAGTGTTGGGATTGAAGGGACTTTTGCCGTGAAAAACATTACAAAAATGAGGTGGAATTTGATTCGCTTTCAAAAACAGAATTTTATTGTAAAGTCAACGATTGGGAAGAATTAAGTTATTGAATCAATGAAGCTAATTCTCATGTAACAACCACACTCAAACAATTTTTCAACAATCTTTCATCACACTTCTTTCCAATGGTTTATATCTTATCCAAAATTGAAGTATTAGATAAAATAAATTAAATTTTAATGCTTGTTGTTAAATTTACACTTAATGAGATATCTCAAATTGGCTTGGGCAGTATCGTAGATAATAAATTCATTGTACAACAATGAACCACTTCTTTGAACTTGTGTTGGTTTACCAAGTGGAACTTTAATCTTTTGACCACTACAACTAGAATCAATTTCCAAAAATTCATTATTATCTGGTTCAGTTCTACCTTGACCCCAACATGAATGTAAATCTTTTGGCAATTTAGTAACAAATTCAGCTTGAGTTCTATTATAAGTATTACCCAAAGCAACTTCAGTAAGTAAAAGCAAACCACTATTGTTTGACAAGTGAGCATGACAATAGTTTGCTGACTTACTACACATATCAGCAAAGTAAACACCCTTACCAACTATTAAATAATAATAAATTAACTTTGAAATAACTTGAATAACTTGAAACTTACACATATAACCAGTAGCTGGAGCTTCAGGAGGAGCAATTCTCAAACCTTGAGAAAGGATACCAACAAAGTTTGTACTTCTAGAACCGTGGAAAAGAAGTTGCTTATTACTAATACTATCACTCTTAGCAACATATTTTTCTGTTTCACCATGTCTATTAACAACGAAAGCATCTTCTAATTCAAGAGTATAATAAGAGTGAGTTGGAGCGTGAGTATTTTGAATAAATTTGTTAATCCACTTCCATTCTTCAGAATCCTTAGCAATTGGTGTAATATCAGTCTTCAAATCACTATAAATTGAATCAACAATATTGACATCTGACTTTTTAGAAATAATCTTAGAGGCAATTTCAAGTTCACTTAATGATTCAACTAACTTGATCTTTTGTTCCAATTGTGTCTTGGTTCTAATAACTATTTTTAAAATTAATTATCATCATTTAAAAAGTGATATTAAATAATAATAACTTACTTGGTGGAACTTGTCTATGTCCAAATTGATGAGGAATAATAGTGTAGAATCTTGATGAAAGTGATTCCAAATCATCATCATCATTTTTACCATCAATTACATCTTGAATCTTTTTAAGAACTTCATAACCACCTTGAACTTGTTTCTTTGAAAGTTTACCAAGTGGCATCTTATTTGTATCAATTTCAAATTCACGTAAAGTTTGATCAATAAAAGATTTGTTACTGATAAATTTAACTAAATCTTGAACTCTAGAATCAAGTTTAGATTCTACAACCTTCTTTTCTTTCTTTTCTTCCTTAGCTTCATCATCTTCTTCTTCTTTTTCATCATCATTATCTTCACTATAATCAATTTCTACAAAATCATATTTTCCATTCTTAAATTTGAATGAAGATCTCTTTGACCATTCATTACCAGTCTTATCTTTAAACTTTTTAGCAAAGTCATCTTTAGCTTTTTGTAAACTAGCCATCTTTGATAACTTAGATTGTCCTTTTGCAGAAACTCTACCCCATCTATTAAAAACATAGTATGAAGATCCACTTTCAATCAATTGGATAATATAGAATTTGTTATTATTATTTCCAATATTTGTTTGATTGAGAGTAGCACTCCAAATATCATTTCCTTCAATATAAACTTTACCAGAAGTTTGCATACCAGATTCTAATAATTAGAATAAATTATTTTGTTAATTAATTAAATAATTTTCGTGAACATACCTTCATCAACAGGAACTTTACCAGTTGAAACAACCTTCTTCTTCTTAGAGGCTGGTTCTTCAACCTTTTCTTCTTCTTCTTCCTCTTCCTCCTCTTCTTCTTCCTCATCTTCTTCTTCAGCCTTTCTCTTCTTTGAAACCTTCAATTCAAATGATGCAGAGTCAAGCCTTTGTTAAAATGGAGATAAATTCCATCAATGATCATCATAATTATACCTACAATTTTTCTTGTTCAGCCGATTGATTAATAAAATCACTATTAACAACTTTAATTTTCTTAGTAAAGGCTGATTTGACTGTAGCTCCATTTTCATTGACAGCCTTCTCTGTAGTAACCAAATAATTGGTATCATTCTTTACGGATTTGTGAATTGTACCTCCTTCTTCTTCGATCAATTCAACAAGTTTGGATTTTTCACCTCCGTTGATGCCAACAAAAGCAAAGTTCAAATCATCAAATATACCCATCTTCTTTTTAATTGTTGTTGCTTAACTTTTTTTCTTTAGTTGTTGTTCTTGTCAAAATGACGCGATCACTCCATGTTTATGAATGACGAGAAATCATCAACTTGCTGGAAAGATGGTGAAAAAAAAGTGGCGCCATTCCAATCATGTTCTGATATTGTAAATGGATAACTTTTACGCGCATCTCTACGGACATTAAGGGAATTTACTTGAATATTTTGTTGTTGTTTTACATGTTTAATTTACTTGCTTGATTTTGTTTAATTCAAGACATGAAAGTGCAAACAAATTCCATTGGTGGTAGTACATCAATTTAATTACATTTTTTGTTGTTTTGCCAGATCGTGAGATGAAAATTTTAAGGATTTGGCAATTATTGAATAAAGACTTGATGTTATTTGAAAAGATTTCAAAGTTGGCTCAATCTTCAGCTAATTATCAAAAGATTGTTGTTTGATTTCTTGTGTTGTTTCAAAATAAAGTACTTTAAAACACAAAAAAGTTGTTTTGCCAAATTGCTTAAAATCATGTGCGAAGCCAATCTCCAGACGTGGCAATTGAGAATTGAAATGAATCTATTTATTTGCTAAACATAATACTTACAGTTTTAATACAGAACTATTAACTGAGTCAACTGTTAGATATTAAATACCAAGCAAATTCTTTTGATAATCTGAGGTTAGTAGTATGCTAAAATGAATGCCACACGATGAAATACCTTAATTATACCAAAATAACAAGGGCGGTTAGCTCAGCGGTAGAGCACCGGATTGCAAAGTTAATTGCAGCAGACATCCGATGGTCACGTGTTCGATCCACGTACCACCCTTCCTTTTACTGCCACTTCCTATAATAATTTGCCAATAGATCAATACTATTTTTTGTTGCCTTTAGTGCAGCATCCACTGCCTCGGTCACTGTTTTCATATTCACTGAAGGCTCTTTCATTTTATCAAGTCTTGATTTAGAAATTTGCAAGTAATTGAGAGCTGCCTTAGCATGTTGGGAATATTGTTACGTCGTACTCCAAATATGATTTAGCAATTGCCATACTGTATAAATATATGAATGATAATGAATCTGTTTTGATAAATTGATTAAGAGTTATTCCGCCATGTGTTGAGAGAATATCATCTGATGTCTGGAGGTGAATTCCATGGAATGTTTGAATAGCAGGGGTGTTTGTGAAACCATTTTGACAAAACTTCAATACTTATGCTATCACTTTCTTTAATCAATCTTACAGCAGATCCAGAATAGCCATACAAGGTAGAGCAAGAATGGCCTTGGATTCCTGGAAGGTCTTCCCAAGTCCAGTCTTTCTTTGTAAAACCATAGGATGCAATCATATTCTTGTGGTGGCCATAAAATTCTTTACAAGAAAGCTCACATCATCTGATAGTGCCTCAATAACCTCATTGTTGTGCTCCTTTTTAAATCTTGAGTCATCAAAACAGATTGGTGGAGGATAATACTATATTTATTTGAATATTAGCATTTTGTTATTTTACATTTGTTTAATTTACAGAGTTTTGAGAACTTGTTGCTTGATGTTGTTAAAATCAAGAAGACATTCTTCAAAAGCACAAATAAATTCCATTGATTCTTCTTCATCAATTCTATCTACAAGTCTATCAACTTTTCTTACGACGTACTTTACCTTAGAAATGTCTTCATCACATAACAATTCATTGGCAATTATTCTCAGATCTTGAGCTTCTTGATGAAGGTTAGAAATGAGACCGATTAATCCCAATTCTTCACAATATACCTTTCTGAAATCTTCCAAGGAAACAAGTGGATCTTCAATGGTATAGAATGGATAGGATCCAACTCTGTGCTTCTTGAATAGTAATTTGAATAAGTTTGATTGGCCAGTTGGAATCAAAACTCCCAAAGTCTTGTTATTAATTTTGTTGTGATACTCCAACCAGAATCTTAAATTAACATTCAGTTTAAGAATTTTAGGGAAGGAAGTGAGGAGATTTTGAACCACTGAAGTATGTACTTGGTCTCTAATTGTAATTTCAATGATTTGTTTCAAATTCTCCAATTTTCCAATAACCAGGTTGTAACATTCGCATTCAATTTCTTCAAGATTTGGCCAGTTTTGGATAATATAAGAAAAGGCCTCTGTAACATTATAACATGGATACACGATGCACATTTTGGTGACTGAATTGTAATTATTTGAAACATATGTGTTGTGTTTCAAATCTAAAACTAATCTCATACTATCGAATGAATGAAACAAATGAGAATAGTTCTTCATCCATTTGAGATTCATTATTGAAGAGATTGCAAGCCCTGTTACTTTCTGAACTGCATCAATGTCATTTTCTCTTCCGGTCAACTGCAGTAATTCTTTAGCAGAAACACTCATTGGAAATTTCTTGATCAAAGAGAATGAATGATGAGGAATTACACATTCATGTAAAAATTGAATCAATTCTTTCAATGAAAAGCTTTCCTTCAACCCTTGGAAGAAAACTCCATTCTCTCCTCCTTCAAAAAGTTTACAATACTCTTCATCTGGCAATGCAGTTCTTCCACCAAGATGGGAGATCAAATGATCAAGGAGAGTTTTATACTGGCTATCGGTGGAATTGATTATTTGACTTGAAACTTCTTGCTTTTCATTTGTGACCGATTCTATGATTTGTTCTTCTTCACGTTTCAATTCAGCTTCTTCATTTGTACTGTTCTCTTCCAGTTGTTGTTGCTTTCCATCTTCCTCGATTAACAATTCAGTAGTTTCTTGTTTGATTTCTTCCCGCTTTGGGGACACTAAACCAGATTGATACAACTTGAATAATAACAGGAAAAGACGAGGATCTTGAGCAATCTTGTAGAGATGGTCTGTAGCCATTTTTTTATGTTTTGATTGGATTTGCATTGTTTGCTTGTGCAGTTATGAATTGCTTTTGGTGAACAATGTGATATTCACAAAAGTTTGCTTCACGTTTCAAACTTGTTTTCGTTTTTGCTTTGTACGTGAATTCTGCAGTTATTTATAGAAAATCGTATGATTCGTTTACTATAATTCAAGGACAAATTTTGCTCATCCATACTGCATGACAAAACCACAGTAATTTTGAGTGGCATTTTTGCAAGCGACTGTTGTGTTTATCTTCACTGTTGAATATTCATTCAAGGATTCTAAGGCGAAATCTGCCAACACTAATCTACAGTTCTATCTTTTGAAGAAGTTATTGTCCAAAAATACCAAAAAGAAACAATTCTTAATATTCAAAGGTCGTCATCAGTTGAAGAACTTTCGTCTAGTTTGTTGGATAGGGAACGAATTCTGTACAAGGTTTCCAAATAGGTAATCTTGGCATTTTTCTGCGACTCTTCATTAAAAAAATTGTTAACAACTGCCACCTGTCATGTCTGCAATACAAGAGTCAATAGCTACCGCAAGAAAGGAAGCACAAGACCTTCACGAACAAATTAAAAACACTAGGAAGAAAACCAATGACTGTAGTAGTATGTATTCTAAAGTTTACTTTGGATTTTAACAATTCACTAGTTCGGGATATGGATGTGAAAGAAGTTGCTCCATTAAAAATCAGAGAACGTAGAGTACTCAAAGGACACACAGCAAAGATATATAGTTTGGCATGGGCCAAGGATTCTACGCACTTGTTGAGTGCCAGTCAAGATGGTAAATTACTGGTAAGTAGAGGTTTTATTGATTTTCAGTTTATTGTTGTTGTTATTGTTATTATTGTTGCAATATAATTAGATTTGGGATGCAGTGAAGAATTTAAAGGTTCACGCCATTCCATTGCGATCTCATTGGGTTATGTGTTGTGATTATAGTCCGTCAGGTAATGCTGTTGCAGCTGGTGGTTTGGATAATATTTGCTCAATTTGTTAGTATTTTTGAATATTTGAACGTTGATCTAATTATTATTCTATTGCTATTTAATGACTGTTTTATTATTGCTGATAATGAATATTGATGATTGGATATTATGGATAATTTTGGATAATAATTATTATAATACTACTATAATTATTGGATTTGTTAAACAAATAGATACAATTTCATCATTAACTCAAGCTCAAAGTATAAATGATATTAAACCACATAGAGAATTATCTGGACATTCTGGATATTTGAGTAGTTGTAAATTCTTGAATGATAGACACATTTTATCTAGCTCAGGAGATTCTACTTGTATATTGTGGGATACTGAGATGGGACATCCAATCAGTCGTTTTGAGGAACATACTGGTGATTGTATGTCCATTTCAATTTCACCAACAGGAGAGAATAATTTATTTATCAGTGGAGCTTGTGACGGAAACTCAAAGTTGTGGGATATTCGTATGAATAAGTGTGTTGCCACATTCACTGGACATGAAGGTGATATCAATTCAGTTCAATTTTTCCCTAATGGAAATGCCTTTGCCACTGGTTCTGATGATTGTACTTGTAGATTGTTCGACCTTCGTGCTTCACGTGAGGTTATGACCTATTCAGATGATAATGTCAGAGAAGGTGTCACTAGTATTAGTTTCAGCAAATCTGGACGTGTTTTATTTGCTGCCTATGAGTACAAGAAAGTTATTGCTTGGGATACTTTGAAAGGTAAGCCACTCCAAGTACTTGAAGGTCTTCCAAATGGTCACGATAATCGTGTCAGTTGTTTGGCTGTTTCTCCTGATGGCCACTCACTTGCCACAGGTTCATGGGACATGACTCTCAAGATTTTTGCTTAAATTATTTACACACCCCAACAATATTTAATCTTCATTCACACCAACATTAATTTTGTAAATTTCTAGCCCTAAAATATCTAGATATTTTCATAACACACGCTCAATAATTGTCAATATAAATTCACTAATTTTCAAAAATGTTCACTAATTTTACTGTAAAGTTTTACAATTATTTCTCCCCTCATCATCACCATGTTCATATTATCAATGGCTGTCATGGTTCAATAACAATTCAATTATTTGAAGTGCATCAATAGGTGCGGTTGATGCTGAAAGAAGAATCAGTTAAACTGTTTTATTTGGCGCCACATTTGTAATTATCTTCTCTTGCCGCCAAAATAATAATCTGTAAAATAAAATTAAAAAAAATGTCTTTTAATCCAAGAGGAAGCAACAAGGAGTACTCTTTCATGTCTACTACTGCTCCATCTGTAGATAGAAAGCTTCCATTCCTTCCAGGCTATACATTCGACGACAAATTCATTAAGGATAGACATCATAAGGGACAATTATTAGCATACAAAAATAATATTCCTGTTGTACATGATTACGATGTCCCTGTTGAAGTGGATGAACTTCAAACAGAAACCGAAAAGCTGGCTGAAATGCTCAAATCCACCACTCAACTTTATAAAACCTCTGTAACCAATAATGATACAACTAAAAAAGAAAATTGGTTGTCTTTGGAAAAGAAGGTCCTCAGATTCAATGCTTTTTTCAAGGAAGGTGTTCATGAAAGTGCTGTTGAACAAAGTAGGGTTAGAAAATGTGTAATTTTCTACTACCTCGAAGATGATACAATGCACATCAGTGAACCAAAGCAAGATAACTCTGGTATTCCTCAAGGTACTTTGGTCAAGAGACATCGTATTCCAAGAGATAGAGCTTCGGGAAGTTCAAATGTTTACTATACAATGGACGATCTTAACATTGGAAGAGAAGTTACAATTTACGGAAAGACATTCAGAATTGTTGATTGCGACTCTTTCACAAGAGAATTCTATAATGGTATTGGTGTTGAAGTTCCAGAACCAGAGCTTTACCCTGGCGATCAATATACTGATTTGAGAGATACTATTAAAAAGTCAATGAATCCTTACAAGTCCTTAAATCCAATGGACCAAGATCTTAAGAAGTATATGGAATATTCATTCAAGGGTATGCGTACCACACCATCAAAGCAAGAAAAAGTTGCTGTACAAAAATTCCTTGCATTTGATAGACAAGTATTGCGTTTCTTCTGTTACTGGGATGACTCTGAAAAGTTGTATGGTGATAAGAGATTCTTCATTTTGGAATACTACCTTTCAGATGACACCATGATGATTACTGAAGTTTACCCAGCCAACTCTGGTTATGATCCATTCCCAGTCTTTTTGAAGAGACAAAAGGTTCCAAGAGTTAAAAGCTCTGCTGTTGAACCAACTACATGTTATGATGAAACAGATCTTGCTATTGGAAAGCGTGTTGTTGTTTTCTCAAAGAACTTTTTGCTCTATGATTGTGATGAATTCACCAGAGACTTCTTTGCCAGAAAGTATGGCATTACCAGCATGACTCCAATTGAGGTGAAGGATGCTCCAAAGCCTGAAATTCAATATCAAGAACCACCATATAATGGATTTGGTGATGAAGAAGATTCTTTGGGTTCTTGGAAATACTTGGTTATTAAACCACCAAAGAAGGATGTAAAGAAGTATATTGAAAATGATCACAAGCTCTTTAGATACTCTGCAGTTTTACTTACTGACTGTCCAGAAGACAAGGGAAGAAAATTCATTCTCTCCTATTACCTTTCTGATGACACTATTTCAGTATTCGAACCTGTACAAAGAAACAGCGGTATTCTTGGAGGAAAATTCCTTCAAAGATCCAAGATTAAGAATGACAATGGTGATTTTATTAAGGCCCATGACACCTTTATTGGATCTGTTTTGAACATCAACAGCTACTTATTCTACTTGCAAGAAACTGATGAATATACTGTAAACTATATGGAACAAAATGCTTCACAATTCCCTAAGGCAAACATTGAAACTATTTTGAATAAGATTAGAAAGGAAGTGATAAACCTTCCAGACTATAAGCTTAGAGATGCATTAGCTGAAACTGAAGGTCCAGGAAAGGTCGGAATGATGTCTTTAAGATCATTCTTTGATAGTTTAGGTATTAACATTGTCGAGCATGAAATTATTACAATTTTGAGACATTTCAATGCAAAGGAAGATGGTGCAATTTCATATTCTGAATTCTTGAGTGCAATTACATCAGCTCCAACCATTGAAAAGAAGCAACAATCAATTCAAAAAACCCAAAAGAAAGTTATTGATGAAGATGTTTTTAAGGTTGCTCTTAAAGTTTTCAAGGAAAAGATTGGCACTAGAAGACTTCTTGTCCATGACTCTTTCAAGATTATTGCTGACAAGAGTGTTGATGGCTTGATTGGAGAGGTTGAATTCAAGCGAGCAGTTCAAGATGGTCTCAAACTTTCCTTATCAGATGAACATATCGAATCTTTAATTGATCACTTCTTCCCAGAAACTAAGCGTAGATTAACTTTAATAGAATTTATGAAGATTATTGAAGGTACATCTACATACCTTTATGCTAAGCAAAATAAATAAAATACCTAAATTTCCAAACTAGTGAGTGCACTTTACTGAAATGTCGACCAGTTTGTTTTCTCTTAACACAACAAAAAGGCCAGTAATTTGGTTGATCAAACTTTTTGTTATTCTG